TGAAACAGTTTTTAACTCTGACAACTTGATTTTAAAAGTGTTATAAGCCTTAACTTAAGGCACTAGTTACAAAGCTAAAGAGGTCTTCATTTGTTCAAGTTACCATTATTACTCTTATTACAGTTTGGACATGAAATTGTTGTACTTTGGTTCTTTCGTAGTTCGCACGTGAGAGAATTCGAGTTATCTCATAGTAATCCAGTAAGCAGGATTATAAAAAATAACTCATGCGCACAATTTACAAGCGAAGATGTTGGACTTTGTCCCTTTTACAACTCGAATTGTTTACTAGAAAATTTGCTCAAACTATTTTAAAGAAAACACCTCGGCTTTACAACATCTGCAATTAAATTATGCTTCATGCAACGTTAAAGTTAATGGCCTAACATTTATTTACTTCCCAGAAAATTATACTCATATCATGTTATAAGTCCACCCAATAAAGAGGCCCTGCCAGGGTAAATTCCGACAAGCGACATGGCCCAAAAAGTAGCGACAGCGCGTAAAATGAAATCGCTACAAGAGACAACCTCCCTCGGCCAAATTGCGACAGTGACGGCAAAGCCGAGAATAAGCGACAAGCATTTATAAACATCGACACGAGACGTTTTAAAATTAAGACGGGCGACATGGGACCCCCCACCCCCGGCAGAGCCTCAATAATAAAACAATATCTAATTATTTTGTCAACTAGCTTCTTTCAATTTCTATTCCCTAACGCTATTGTTTCTACTTAAGTTACGCATCTTTACTAAATAAAATACATTTCAATGACTGTAACGACTCTTAAGCAGCAAGCACGTATCATTTTGTTTACTTGATTCATGGTTTTTTTACCGCGGAACGTAGAAGGTCTTTTGAACTTTGTAAGAGAGAGAATAAAAGCTTGTTTACAGGATTAACTTACTCGGTAAAGCTTTAAAAAAGAAAAAAATAAGCTGCCTTTCAAACTTCTAAAACCACAATTTATAGGCACTTCCGAATGAAAGTTCATATCTAAAAATAAGTTATTGTTTCATTGGAAGAACTTTGAAAAAATATATGATCTTTTATACTCTACCTTGAAGCAGGTGAAACAGAACTCATAATTTATGAAATACGTGCGTTGTACCATTCGCAATAGCCGATTTAGGTCAGAAATGTCTTGAAATGTCTTAAACCGAGCTGCATTACTGTACCGAGTGTTTTAATCATGAAGATATTTAAATTTTATGCTTCTAAACACCTTTAGCCGTAATAAAAGTCGAAAAAATAGTGAAGAATCAAGATGGCGATCTCAAAGTGCTCTTGTTTGACCTCTTAGCAGTGTCATGTTTAAATGCCAAAATATCATTGGCTCCTAGCATCAACTCATAGTATCTTCAACCTTATTGATCCCTGCAACGCACATCCGAACACACAAAGCCACAAAGCCACAAAGATACATACGCTCAGACCACTGACATATGAGCTATTTTTTCAAAAACGTTCAACAATTAATGGTATGTGTATGTGTAATTGACCATTATCACATAAGAGTAGAGATTCACCAGATGGCGCAAACTCATAAGAAGATAAATAAAATACGCTCAGTGGAAATTTGAAGCTTAACGACAGACGTCTGCATACACATGAAAAGGACCCATCACCCTCCTCTTACCACACCACTTAGTGCTTTTAACCTCTTGGGCATCATTTTAAATCGGACGATTCCAACGTCTGATCGCGCAAGGGGATGTTCGATTCACCTTACCCAAAACATTGGCATCATCTCGAATACATCCTCACAAGGCGAGCTATCCTATCTCGCATCAAGCTTACACGTAGCCTTCACAGCGCAGAAGGTGATACTGACCATTCCCTGGTGTAGAGCAAAGTGAAACTACAGGCAAAGAGAATCTACCACACAAAGACTGTGTGAAAACCATGCCTTTACGTCAGCAAGACTCGCGATGCACAGAAAGTTGAGGAGTTCATAACTACGCTTGAGAAATCTCTCCCCCAGCCTCTCTATTGGTAAAGTCCAATAAAGACTGCATTACTTCAGGGATGCGGTTCATGGATCAGCCATGCCCAACTTCGGTAAGAAGAAAAACAAATCTGCAATAGAAGAAAAGAGAAACGTTATAACAGGATAAAAGACCTGCCCAAGTGAACAAACTGTCTACAGGCTCTAGAGGCAGCATGTAGTCATGTGCAACGATACAACAGACCCTGTGCAAATCAATACTGGCCTGAAATCTGTGCTAGTATTCATTCTGCTGTTGAGACAGCTATTATCAAGGCCATATGTACGATGAAATCAAGCAGACACTTGGTCCTTCTCAGAAAAAACAGCCCCCTTAAATTTTGCTACAGGGGAGATAATCCAGGACCGAGCACAACAGATGGAGCGGTGGGTAGTACATGATTACTCTGAGCTGTCTGCCAGAGAGAATATGGTTCTTTGGAAGCACTGAAGCCATAGATTGCTTACCTGTTCTGGAGGACCTGGATAGTGGTGACCTACTGAGTGGAACTGAAAGAGGCCCTGGGCTACCTGCACCTGGAAAAGCGCGCGGCCAGGATGGTAATACTCTGCCTGTGGTAGAGCGAGAGAAGGTACCACAATGATAAGAGACGCAAACATTGTCATTCTATAGAAAAACAAGGGGGCCAGAAGAGCCTATAACAATTATCAGCTATGAAGCTGTTTGCTCGAGTTGTTCTGAGGCGTCTCCAACTGCTTGCAGAGAAATTTTATCCTGAGTCATCGTGTGGTTAATCCCTGCCAAACGATCGACACTATTAGGGCTAATAGCTTGTTGGCCGAAGCTTCGTCGCAATGGCGCACAAGCATTAACTTCAATTAAACCATCTTTCTGGGAGCCACTTTCTAGCTGACCTACTTTTTTTCCTTTTCCGAGCAAAACAGAGCCATTTAGGCTTACATAATCATATCACTTCAACAATGTAACTTGCAATCCGTTGTAGATCGACGCGCTCTTTACTTCCCGATGGCCTTCAAGGAAGGCTGCCGTCTTTGCTTCGAACTATTTAAATGGGGGGTTCGAGGGGAATAATTTTTTAACAATTTGACTTACAACTGACTTTGAGCTGAGCCGGCCTTCCGAATGAGTTATCCCAGATATATAACGATCATTACTGACGGTGGAATAAAGGAACATTTGATTTAAGCTCTTTCGGAATTAAGCTAAGTGTTACGTGTTGGTACATGAAAAAAGAGCTGGCCCCGGTTGTTCAAAAGGTGGATAGCGCTATCAACTGCATAAATCTCTATCAACAGGGATAATGCGATTGTTTTTCTCCGCTGGATATTGATTTATCTGATAGAGAGCAACAACCGGGATCTGGTGTTTATATTACATTTCCCCTTAATAAATGAGCGATTTTGTAAAATTTACACACGAACAATTTCGTCTCTGTTACTTTACTTGAATCTTTCAGGCAACCTGAGTTTAGGATGCGTACTAAGAACTGAATCAGATTTTTCTAAATCTTAAGACTAGATTAGTCAGTCGTTGGCAACTCGTGACGCAGTTAGATACTTTTGCAGTTGTAACCCCCAATCACAAACTCCTCAAGCATGTTAAGAGTGAGTCCATGGGTGCACTAGGCAGGTGTGCTACATGCTATCTCTCCGATTTCGATGAAACTTGGCCAGTTTAAAGGGTCTACCCCAAAAACTCAAAATGACAAACTGGTTCATAGTTTGGATCTTTATGGTGGGAGATAGCCCACCCAACTGGTTTAATTAGATTTTTTACCAATAAAAGTGCATTAATAACTGGCAAAAGTAGGAAGCTCTCAGAACAACTGTTTTTAACCTTTGACTATGAGGGTTTGTATATATTTTGATGCATCGTTGACGAATGTAAGGATGTAAGTTTCAGTCAATTTGATTGACTGCTTGTCAATCACCGGCCTTGAATATGGGACCACCTTTTCAGCTATTCAAATATTTGCTGATTTTGCGATCAAATATCTCTCCTTGCTAGAAAGCTATGACAATAATTTTGCTATTCCCTGTTTACCAACCATTTGGTCTATAATAAACATAAAAAAACATTTCTGGGCTCTGCCTTTTTTGGGTGTCAGATGCCAATTGAAAACTGCACCTAAAACAAGCTTATTTCCACTACACCTGTTCTATAATTCAGCAATTAAGGGCCGCTGAAGTTACTAAACCGACACTTTCCAGCCCGTTATACAAGAATAATAATCGAGGTTCAATGCATGCCTAAAACGCTCGAGATTTTGCGAGAAATTTAAAGATTTCACACTGATTAGTAATGCACGTCACCAAAGTATCGAAGGCAAAATCGTAATGTTTGTGACCTCGTTTTGATTTTCTCGCAAAATCAAAGATTATTCTTCTTACGAGTTAAACTATACAGAAGTCCTTCATTCAAGTGTTTATGGTCTTTACTGTGACAAGACCAAGCTGTTTTTAATTTCCTGGGCAGAATTTTCAGGGCCACATGGCGCGTGGTTGTTGACAAGCTTTGAATCACGCTAGTATATGCCAGTTATAGAGCAAGGTCAACTCGCACATCTAAAAACAACATTCAATGATGGGAAATTCTTCCTTCTAGCAATAAAGAAATTACGCCCTTAAAAAGTTAATTAAGTTTAGGCTACAACTTAAAAAAGAATACGACATCGACATCGACATCCTTGCAGATCTTGCTGAGCAGAGATGTGAGAAGGTTTTGGATGCCATCATGTCTTTGTGCAACAAAACCCGTCTTCTTACAAGACAGGGCGTGGCTGACTGTGAATCAATCTCCACACGCGCAATGGCTCGGCAAGTCCACTAGTTACAGATTGTAATGCAAGAGTAGAGATTCCCTAAATTGTTGCCTATTCAATGTCAGGTCCTGCTCTTCAAGGGCTACGGCGTTGAGCCACGAGCTTGCACCATTGTCTCTGGCCTGCATTGTTAATCTTAGCAAGTCTAGCTACTACCTGCGGTGCTATCATTAACTTTGAGGCAGCGTACTGCTGTGAGACTTCAGCTTTCAGGTCTGGTATACCCAGACCCCCAGGGCAAATAGTTCTCGCAACTCATCAGGGAGGGGCTCCGTCTGGCGAAAAAGAACTGGAAGGAAAATATCATTGATCGCTTCCTCACTTGGTTCCATATAGTCTTTAAAAGACTCAGTTGTACGCATAAAATATGGATTTTTCTATTTGTAGCCCTTTATGAAGGCGACGTAGGCGGCATGTGGTTGACTCTTTACAATCTCAGCCAGCAACTCGATGTTTTCCCTCCAACCCTTTACTTTTCCATTACATCATTGGTCTTTGTATTCCTGTGATCCAGTGACTGTTCCTAGGTGTCGTTGACCTTCTGTTGTTATAATTCTGACCTCCTTTTCAAACATCAACTCGGCCTCGTCTGCTAGATCTTGTGTCTGTACTACCTGGGTTTACCATTAGCCAACTTTTTGAGCCATTGATTAGGTAGCCAAATTTCTTTCCCTCTTGACTAAAAAGTTTATACCAGTTGTATAACAGTTCCATTAGGCTGCCTCCTGCCGAGTCATCAACCAGCCATAATTGCTTAACTTCAGGTATACGCGCTCTTAGGCTTGGAATCAAGATGGATGTGTTGATCGCATACCATGGCATGGCTAGAGGGTCACCCTATGTTGTCCCTTCGTGGGATAAGATCAGGGGGGAGGGGTACCTTAGGAATTTCTGGGTGGGGATGTGCCGCTGGGACCCTGGAACCCTTAACCTATACCAGAGCTAGTTCAGCTGAATTTTGCTACCTTATACTAGAGTAAACTCCCCAAATCCCCCTATCCTAGAGTAGCTGTTTCCCTAGTCTAGATAAAATCTTCCACCGACTGATCAGTTTCCTGAAAAATGATACCCAAACGCTCTGATTTATATAGCCTATCCTAGAGTAAACTGCTTGAAAACCATACCCTTCACAGTGGCACATACCTATCAGTAGCACATATGTGGGAGTGCCCCCCCTCCCCCCCCGGGGGATAAGATCTCTACTCCTCCACAGGTGAACAATCTCGAGGGACTTCTGTACGTGTTGATGATGTACATGGAAATTTCCGGACAAGTTATTTGGATGTTGCTGGCGTCAACCAACAGGATTTCGTCTGTACGATCATCATCTAAAATCTGGGCCATGGCATGTATGGCGACCTCGGCACCCGCACTGTAGCCAATGCAATTTTGCAGGAGGCCAGCTGCCAGCATGATCTCCTCCTTTAAGGCCCTGTTTACAAGGGGGGGGGGTAACCATGGTGCTAGGGTAACCATGGTGCTAGGGTTACCCTAGCAAGAGGGTTACCCTGGCACTCGCTCCTTTCTTCTTTTTTACACGACGCGTTTACAAGGCAGGTAGGGTTACCCTGGCAAGGGGGTTACCCTACCTGCCTTGTAAACGCTCTGCTAGGGATAACTCGCCTACCCTGGACAACTTTCCTCCGTTGACCCGAGTGATAGGGTAACCCTGCCTGTGAACTGAGGTTAAAGATAGGGAGGGGCCGGGGCGAAGGGAAGAAGGCAGAAAACCCTGAGTTCAGCTTTCGTGTGGCTGTATATTTTTCTGTACGAACTACAAAAGACGCCAAAAAACAGCCCGCATTTTTAGTATGATAATGAAAAGGAGTAACAAAAAAATATTGTAGCTAGATTACAGAAGCTGAACACGTGAATACGCGAAGCATGTTTTCATAAGTACATATTTTTTCTTGGCTATATTATTTTACCCTAAAATAAATGTTATATTTTATCGCATGGCTGGCCCTGTTTTCAAGAAAAAGTGTCCACTAGTTTCCCATAGTTATTACTTTAACTTAAACTTAAGGAAGGCAAATTTCTTGTAAACCAGAGCTAACCGTTACCACGCTTCCTAGGGTAGCCCTCTCTTATTGTAAACAGGCCCTAAGAAGGTGGATATGGTCTCATTTGTGTGACTCCTATTGATCGAATTCCTGGGTTCTTATCCAGAGGAATGAGCCTGAAGGAAGTGTAGCTTTCCAACAGAGAAGGTTGCTAACTTGATTTCAGCAGATTTCTGGTCAACGCGGCTATTTCTTTTAGGCTTATTTTTTTTTGATCCTCTCCTCTAGTTTAGACAACCCAAAATTTTTTAGAATGTATTTAAATTACCGGGAAGGCGCGGGAAATTCGCTGGTCAAAACAGTGCAGGCTCTTTCTTTTTGTCACGTAATACTTGGTTGTAAATAATCTTGATTGAGAGTGACAAAGATCTTCGAGCCACTTGCATTTGAACAAAAAATGAAGATAGTACGAGATAAATTAGTTATAGAGATAAGAAGAAAATTCTGAAGGGCAAAGGCAAAGAAGTGGATTCTAAACAAAGATTGTCTAGTCACGCAGCATGCAATGCATGATAGTTAGGCGTAGATCGACAAATTAGATCGACGGCGGTAAGTAAAATTAACATTATTCTTTTTCTGAGGTTGTAGCCTAAACTTACTGAACTTTTTAAGGGCGTAATTTCTTTATCGCTAGAAGGAAGAATTTCCCATCATTGATTGTTGTTTTTAGATGTGCGAGTTGACCTTGCTTTATGACTGGCATATACTGGCGTGATTCAAAGCTTGTCAACAACCACGCGCCATGTGGCCTTGAAAATTCTGCCCAGGAAATTAAAAGCAGCTTGGTTTTGTCACAGTAAAGACCACAAACACTTGAATGAAGGACTTCTGTATAGTTTAACTCGTAAGAAGAACAATCTTTGATTTTGCGAGAAAGTCAAAACGAGGTCACAAACATTACGATTTTGCCTTCGATATTTTGGTGACGTGCATTACTAATCAGTGTGAAATCTTTAAATTTCTCGCAAAATCTGGAAGGTTTAAGCATTCATTAAACTCCTCGATTATTATTCTTGTATAACGGGCTGGAAAGTGTCGGTTTAGTAACTTGAGCGGCCCTTAATTGCTGAATTATAGAACAGGTGAAATGGAAATAACCTTGTGTTAGGTGCAGTTTTCAATTGGCATCTGACGCCCAAAAAAGGCAGAGCCCAGAAATGTTTTTTTATGTTTATTATAGATCAAAATTATTGTCATAGCTTTCTGGCAAGGAGAGATATTTGATCTCAAAATCAGCAAATATTTGAATGGCTGAAAAGGTGGTCCCATATTCAAGGCCGGTGATTGACAAGCTGTCAATCAAATTGACTGAAACTTACATCCTTACATTCGTCAACGATGCATCAACATATATACAAACCCTCATAGTCAAAGGTTAAAAACAAATGTGCTGAGAGCTTCCTACTTTTGCCTGTTATTAATGCACTTTTATTGATAAAAAATCTAATAAAACCAGTTGGGTGGGCTATCTCCAAACCATAAAGATCCAAACTATGAACCAGTTTGTCATTTTGAGTTTTTGGGGTAGACCCTTTAAACTGGCCAAGTTTCATCGAAATCGGAGAGATAGCATGTTGCACACCTGCCTGGTGCACCCATGGACTCACTCTTAAGGTGGCTCCGTAATTAATACTAGAGCATTTTGCTGTGACAAATTTTCCGTCATAACTTTTTCGATTTCAACGCGATGGCTGCGAAACTTTGCAAAGAACAAGAGATATCATTCGGCAATAATACGAAATATTCCGATTTCATTGATGGTAAATATTTCTTGAGAAATTAGCGCTTAAAAGGACCCTAATGTTCAAAGAAAATCGCGTCTAGTAAAAAATTTTGCTGATATTTTTTACTGAAATTTCTGGTATCGGCTTCAATTGATATAATAAATATGTCAGAGGAATTTCAGAAAAATCGTTGGAGCAGAAGTCCGTAACTAAAAGTCGCTCAAAACTCAGCTGTGAAATTGTTTTGGAATTTCAAAAATAAATTACTATGAGGTAGAAGGAGCAACCAGTTTGAATTTTCGGGACAAGTAAATTCAACGTTTGCTAATTCTTAAAACAAAAGCCGATTGCCTATCGTGCTATTCTTTAAAAGGTACTGTTTAGTTTTATAAGCACTATAAATTGCTCCAAACCTTGCTCTGAAGTAGAATTATTTGTTCTTCGACAGTTTTAAAATATCCCTTGGCAGTCTTGGCATAAACTCCTGCTGCATACATTTTGATGTATTGCAATGCATTTTCAACGACTTTTACTGCTGTTCGTTGCTTCCAACTCAGGAAAAAAGTATTGAGATTGGACGCTACCTCGTATCAGAGCTCAGATAGAACTGTCCAGCACCTTTGTTTATGACTACAAAATGAGCACGAGCGGCAGTTCTGCGAGGAATTCGCACCTCACCCAGGGGGAACGAACGACAATGATGACCATGCCTGTGAACCGAATAACATCACAGTGCAAAATAAAATTATCGCAAAAATATTGCCCGTGAATAAATTTACAACTCTGAATTTTTTGTCACTCCTTCCTTCAATGAATGGGTATTTTTTTTCTTGATTATTATGTTTTGCTCTGTAATACATGTTTATACAGATCGGTTCACAGACATGGGCATCATTGTCATTCGCCCCCCCTGGCTGAGGTGCGAATTCCTCGCAGAGCTGCTGCTCGTGCTCATTTTCTGGTCATAAACAAACGTGCTCGACAGTTGTGTCTGAGCTTCGATACAAGGTAGCTTACAATCCCAATACCTTTTTCCTGAATTGGAAACAATGTACAGCAGGAAAAGCCGTTGAGGATGCATTGCAATACATCAAAATGTATGTAGCAGGAGTTTGAGCCATAACTGCTAAGGGATATTTTAAAAATGTCGAAGAACAAGTAATTCGACGTCAGAGCAAAGTTTGGAGCAATTTATAGTGCTTCTAAAACTGAAAAATACCTTCTAAAGAATAGCACGATAGGCAATCGGCTTCTGTTTTCAGAATTAGCAAACACTGAATTTACTTGTCCCGAAAATTGAAACTGGTGTCTCTTTCTTCCTGATAGTAATTTATTTTTGAAATTCCAAAACAATTTCACAGTTGAATTTTGAGCGACTTTTAGTTACGGACTTCTGCTCCAACGATTTTTCTGAAATTCCTCTGACGTATTTATTATATCAATTAAAGCCGATACCAGAAATTTCAGTAAAAAATATCAGCAAAATTTTTTACTAGACGCGATTTTCTTTGAACATTAGGGTCCTTTTAAGCGCTAATTTCTCAAGAAACATTTACCATCAATGAAATCGGAATATTTCGTATTATTGCCGAATGATATCTGTTGTTTTTTGCAAAGTTTCGGAGCCATCGCGTTAAAATCGAAAGAGTTATGACGGAAAATTTGTCACAGCTAACTGCTCTTGTATTAATTACGGAGCCACCTTAAGGCATGGCTCAATTTTTGTTTTCGACCCCCCGCGAAGATAAACTTGTTTTTGTTCTACGGCCACGCATTTTAATTCTAAAAGTTGCAAAACTCTTTCAAGAAACTTTCTTTCGAGGTGTTGAATTAGTTAGGGTTAAAGTGATGTAGTCACATTAAACGTGACGTCATAATGATATTCAAAAACAAATTCAAAATGGGGTAGGAATGGTTGATTACAACTAAGTTTAAACCATGTGTAAATGTTTATTTTACCGTACGAATTTTTTCCGTGGCCGGAACGGAGAGAATTTTTAATTTCTTTAAAAGATATTAACAGGTGAAAAGTGTCACGTGACCTATTTTGCTTACTTACTAATTAATTAAAAACGTGAGTCAACCATTCCGGCCAAATTCAAGCGAGAAATGATGATACAATAACATAAATACTGTATTTAATACATACTGTGTGGCATTTCGCCACCCCATTTTTAGTTTTCTTTTCTTTGCTGGACTCGACAATGAGTGATCATGTGACACATATCTACCGGTTTTATCCGAGGTTGCCAAATTTTGTAAGGTTCTGATAAATTTTCACAAAGTTATGACCATTATAAGATTTTATGCAAATTAGCCTCAGGCCATGCGTTAATATGCTTGAGTCTATCCGAGGACCCTCAAGCGACGATGAAATGTGATCTTCATGCAAGATATAATAAGGCAAGTGCTTAGCTCCTCGTGCGTTCAAAATAATTTGTGGACTTCCCACGTTCGAGTTTATAACCTCCTCTTTTCAAACCAAATTATCTATAGAAAGTTCCCTCTTTCTTAAACTTAATTGTAATATATTCCTATACATAATTATTTGCGTTCTACTGATAGGTTTTCTTTATAGTCTTAAATCATTATGTATGTATTTTTATTTTATTCGCGCATTATTGTAAAAACTAATATAATGTACATTTGGTATTTGTAGCTATACATGAGCAGGAGATCTCAGCAAGCTCTGCTGAGCCTTTCAAAGGAGATTCCCAACTTTACTTATCAATTAAATTACTAACATATTGTTTGCCACTTAATATTACAATATAAACTCTATCGAATTTTTAATGAAATGATGCAAGCTTATCAATGTTAGGAATTTTAATGTACTGTCACATGCCTTTCAACCTTTTAGACGTTCTTTTAATTCTTCCAATATAGTTGTTCCTAACTTAAAATTCTGCAAGAGAAACCACGTTTTTCAAAAATGCAAATAGACCAACGAACTAAAAGATTTCTTGTAAATACAAAACTGCAGATACACGTTTTATAGACTTAGATTTCAACAAACAGAACTCATGATCATTTATTTCCACAAGTTAACTGCTTTTAAATGAAGTAGCTTTATTTTGACGATCCAGGTAACCGAAATCTTTCATAACTGAGTATTCCTGGGTAACTGCATTTAACCGAAACAGAATGTTTCCTGGAATCACAGCTACGATAGCATCAGCTTAATTTACAATTTTAAATCACACCTGACCAGACCACAGAGTCGTTACGTATAAGAAAAAGCTTTATCATTTTGAAGAAAACCTTAATGTTTTCGTAGCTATTAATTTTCTTAAGCCAAAAGATTATTATTATAACGTTTCTAACTGGCTTCCTTATTTTTATTTAAGATTAACTCTTTTTCCGTAGAACTATTTGCTAATTATTCTGGTCTTATTTTTTCACCTGTTTATGTTTCAGAAAAGACCCAAATGGTCAAGGTTCAAGAAGCTATTCATCATGGCATAATTGCCGCAGAGTTTCTTTCAAACACTAAACGAGTTGCCCAGGCTATCGAGCTGTGGAACGAGTGCTTAATACTACTAAACAACAGAACCTTAGAAAACGAACATGAACTTGCCACAATAGGGAGTATAGCGCTGTATAAGAGGTTGTTTTATGGAAATGCTGCTATTACGAAACTTTCACCAGCTATAGAATCTGGCAAAAAGCTTTTAGTCCTACTTCGTAATTGTCAGAGAAAAAATGAAGAGGGTGACACAGCCTTGATGTTATCAACACTGTACTTCCAAAAAAGTGAATACCAGGAAGCTCAAGCAGTCCTTAAAATTGCCCTCTGCGTTTACAAAGAAATCGAAGACAAAGACAGACAAGCGACATGCTACGTAAACCTAGGATCTGTGTTTCTATCTGTCGGAGAATATGCCAAAGCTGAAGAATATCTTCATAAAGCACTTACCATCAACACAGAAATTGGCGACAGAAACGGAGAAGCAACATGCTACGGAAACCTAGGAAATGTGTTTCAATCTGTCGGAGAATATGCCAAGGCTGAAGAATATCTTCATAAAGCACTTACCATCAAGACAGAAATTGGCGATAGGAAGGGAGAAGCGACATGCTACGGAAACCTAGGAAGGGTGTTTCAATCTGTCGGAGAAAATGCCAAGGCTGAAGAATATCTTTATAAAGCACTTACCATCAACACAGAAATTGGCCACAGAAAGGGAGAAGCGACATGCTACGGAAACCTAGGAAATGTGTTTGCGAATGTAGCAGAATATGCCAAGGCTGAAGAATATCTTCATAAAGCACTTACCATCAACACAGAAATTGGCCACAGAAAGGGAGAAGCGACATGCTACGGAAACCTAGGAAATGTGTTTGCAAATGTAGCAGAATATGCTAAGGCTGAAGAATATCTTCATAAAGCACTTACCATCAACACACAAATTGGCGACAGAAACGGAGAAGCGACATGCTACGGAAGCCTAGGAGCTGTGTTTGCAAATGTAGGAGAATATGGCAAGGCTGAAGTATATCTTCATAAAGAACTTACCATCAACACAGAAATTGGCGACAGAGTGGGAGAAGCGTCATGCTACGTAAACCTAGGAAATGTGTTTCAATCTGTCGGAGAATATGCCAAGGCTGAAGAATATCTTCATAAAGCACTTAACATCAACACACAAATTGGCGACAGAAACGGAGAAGCGACATGCTACGGGAGCCTAGGAGCTGTGTTTGCATATGTGGGAAAATATGGCAAGGCTGAAGTATATCTTCATAAAGCACTTACCATCAGCACAGAAATTGGCGACAGAAACGTAGAAGCGACATGCTACGGAAACCTAGGAAATGTGTTTCAATCTGTCGGAGAATATGCCAAGGCTGAAGAATATCTTCATAAAGCACTTACCATCAAGACAGAAATTGGCGACAGAAAGGGAGAAGCGACATGTTACGGAAGCCTAGGAAATGTGTTTGCAAATGTGGGAAAATATGGCAAGGCTGAAGTATATCTTCATAAAGCACTTACCATCAACACAGAAATTGGCGACAGAAACGGAGAAGCGACATGCTACGGAAGCCTAGGAAATGTGTTTCTATCTGTCGGAGAATATGCCAAAGCTGAAGAATATCTTCATAAAGCACTTAACATCAACACAAAAATTGGCGACAGAAACGGAGAAGCGAAATCCTACGGAAGCCTAGGAGCTGTGTTTGCAAATGTGGGAAAATATGGCAAGGCTGAAGTATATCTTCATAAAGCACTTACCATCAACACAGAAATTGGCGACAGAAACGGAGAAGCGACATGCTACGGAAACCTAGGAAATGTGTTTCAATCTGTCGGAGAATATGCCAAGGCTGAAGAATATCTTCATAAAGCACTTACCATCAACACAGAAATTGCCGACAGAAACGGAGAAGCGACATGTTACGGAAGCCTAGGAAATGTGTTTGCAAATGTGGGAAAATATGGCAAGGCTGAAGTATATCTTCATAAAGCACTTACCATCAGAACAGAAATTGGCGACAGAGGTGGAGAAGCGACATGCTACGGAAGCCTAGGAGCTGTGTTTAAAAATGTCGGAGAATATGCCAAGGCTGAAGAATATCTTCATAAAGCACTTACCATCAAGACAGAAATTGGCGACAGAAAGGGAGAAGCGACATGCTACGGAAGCCTAGGAAATGTGTTTCAATCTGTCGGAGAATATGCCAAGGCTGAAGAATATCTTCATAAAGCACTTACCATCAACACAGAAATTGGCCACAGAAACGGAGAAGCGACATGCTACGGAAGCCTAGGAGCTCTGTTTCAATCTGTCGGAGAATATGCCAAGGCTGAAGAATATCTTCATAAAGCACTTACCATCAACACAGAAATTGGCGACAGAAACGGAGAAGCGACATGCTACGGAAGCCTAGGAAATGTGTTTCAATCTGTCGGAGAATATGCCAAGGCTGAAGAATATCTTCATAAAGCACTTACCATCAACACAGAAATTGGCGACAGAAACGGAGAAGCGACATGCTATGTAAACCTAGGAGCTGTGTTTGCAAATGTCGGAGAATATGCCAAGGCTGAAGAATATCTTCATAAAGCACTTACCATCAAGATAGAAATTGGCGACAGAAACGGAGAAGCGACATGTTACGGAAGCCTAGGAAATGTGTTTGCAAATGTGGGAAAATATGGCAAGGCTGAAGTATATCTTCATAAAGCACTTACCATCAACACAGAAATTGGCGACAGAAACGGAGAAGCGACATGCTACGGAAACCTAGGAAATGTGTTTCAATCTGTCGGAGAATATGCCAAGGCTGAAGAATATCTTCATAAAGCACTTACCATCAACACAGAAATTGGCGACAGAAACGGAGAAGCGACATGCTACGGAAACCTAGGAAAGGTGTTTCAATCTGTCGGAGAAAATGCCAAGGCTGAAGAATATCTTTATAAAGCACTTACCATCAACACAGAAATTGGCCACAGAAAGGGAGAAGCGACATGTTACGGAAACCTAGGAAATGTGTTTGCAAATGTAGCAGAATATGCTAAGGCTGAAGAATATCTTCATAAAGCACTTACCATCAACACACAAATTGGCGACAGAAACGGAGAAGCGACATGCTACGGAAGCCTAGGAGCTGTGTTTGCAAATGTAGGAGAATATGGCAAGGCTGAAGTATATCTTCATAAAGCACTTACCATCAAGACAGAAATTGGCGACAGAGTGGGAGAAGCGTCATGCTACGTAAACCTAGGAAATGTGTTTCAATCTGTCGGAGAATATGCCAAGGCTGAAGAATATCTTCATAAAGCACTTACCATCAACACAGAAATTGGCGACAGAAAGGGAGAAGCGACATGCTACGGAAGCCTAGGAAATGTGTTTCAATCTGTCGCAGAATATGCCAAGGCTGAAGAATATCTTCATAAAGCACTTACCATCAACACAGAAATTGGCGACAGAAACGGAGAAGCGACATGCTACGGAAGCCTAGGAGCTCTGTTTCAATCTGTCGGAGAATATGCCAAGGCTGAAGAATATCTTCATAAAGCACTTACCATCAACACAGAAATTGGCGACAGAAACAGAGAAGCGACATGCTACGGAAACCTAGGAAAGGTGTTTCAATCTGTCGGAGAATATGCCAAGGCTGAAGAGTATCTTCATAAAGCATTTACCATCAACACAGAAATTGGCAACAGAAACGGAGAAGCGACATGCTACGGAAAGCTAGGAGCTCTGTTTGTAGATGTAGGAGAATATGGCAAGGCTGAAGAATATCTTCATAAAGCACTTACCATCAGAACAGAAATTGGCGACAGAGTGGGAGAAGCGTCATGCTACGTAAACCTAGGAAATGTGTTTCAATCTGTCGGAGAATATGCCAAGGCTGAAAAATATCTTTATAAAGCACTTACCATCAACACAGAAATTGGCGACAGAAGCGGAGAAGCGACATGCTACGTAAACCTAGGAAATGTGTTTCAATCTGTCAGAGAATATGCCAAGGCTGAAGAATATCTTCATAAAGCACTTTCCATCAAGACAGAAATTGGCGACAGAAACGGAGAAGCGACATGCTACGGAAACCTAGGAGCTGTGTTTCAATCTGTCGGAGAATATGCCAAGGCTGAAGAATATCTTCATAAAGCACTTACCATCAACACAGAAATTGGCGACAGAAACGGAGAAGCGACATGCTACGGAAACCTAGGAAATGTGTTTAAATCTGTCGGAGAATATGCCAAAGCTGAAGAATATCTTCATAAAGCACTTACCATCAAGACAGAAATTGGCGACAGAAACGGAGAAGCGACATGCTACGGAAACCTAGGAGCTCTGTTTGTACATGTAGGAAAATATGGCAAGGCTGAAGAAAATCTTCATACAGCACTTACCACCAACACAGAAATTGGCGACAAAGACGGAGAAGCGTCTCGCTACCTAAAGCTAGGAAACACACCTCAAGCCTTATCGGATCTCTGGTCAAGCATTCAAATTTACGAAAAAATGCTTACTTCTCTAGGAAGCAAAGATAGCCACAATATATCATTTTTTGACAAGAACGCGTCTCCCTATCGGCTGTTTTGTTCATTGAGTTGTTCTTGTGGGAAACCGTATGAAGCTTTACACGCTGCTGAACTTGGACGGGCCAGAGCTCTAGCAGAACTTATGTCAAATCGCTACTCCATTGAAAAAGAAATATCCATCAACCCACAATCGTTTGTTGGCATCGCGGAAGTAATTAAGAAAAATGGCAACAGCACCTGCCTCTACATCTCCTATGACTACCATGACAATATATTTTTGTGGGTTTTGAAACAAAACAAACCGGTAGCTTTCCGAAGAACGAAACTTTGTGAAAGCTATGTTAGCAAGCATGGCAAAATCTCTGTGTATGACCTGTTTGGAAACGAAAGCTTATTAAGAAAATTTCACGTTTTACCTCAAGAGCAATGCGAAGACCGGTCACTCTTTTCTTCATACGCCTATCAACTTACAAACGAACTAAATCTAGAAGATAGTCTCTCAACCTTGCGTCCTTGTTTAGATGAGGAGGAAGTATACACGGACCCTGAACCGCCAACACTTTTTCAGGTTTACAACATGTTGATTGCTCCAGTAAGTGACTTGCTAAAAGGATCCAGTGAAATCATTGTTGTTCCTGATCGCTTCTTCTTCCAAGTCCCGTATGCAGCATTACATGACGGTAATCGCTATTTATCAGATTCTTTCAGGATACGCATTGTCCCTTCTTTGACGACTCTCAAGCTCATTCTGGACAGTCCAGCGGACTCTCACAGCGAAACTGGTGCATTGATTGTGGGTGAGCCAAGTGTGGAGGATGTGTATTTCAAGAGAGAGTTAAGGTATCTCTGTCCATTGCCTGGCGCGAAAGCGGAAGCAGAGATGATTGCAAGACTACTACCTGAATCTCACCTTTTAATAGGAGAGCAAGCAACAAAGCAGGCAGTTCTTCAGAGAATATCCTCGGTAAGTCTCGTACATTTCGCTGCTCATGGTGATGCCGAAAGAGGAGAAATTGCTCTTACCCCCGCTGACTCTACAATGGAGTTTCCGCATGAAGCAGACTACTTACTGTCAATGGCCGAGATTTCACAAGTTAGACTGTCAGCCAAACTGGTGGTCCTTAGTTGTTGCCATACCGCACGTGGACAGATCAAAACAGAAGGCGTTGTTGGAATCGCTCGAGCATTCTTAGGATCGGGTGCACGCTCAGTGTT